CGCCGAAACTAAATTGCCTTTCGCTAAGTGGCCGTTTGGGTGTGTTCGAACTTGGGGGGGAGGATACTCATACGACCACCCTTCGGGTGACAAGGATTTCGGGGGGAGGGGAACAGCGACGACGCGTGATGATGATGTGATGCCACTATCGGTCCCGCTATCGATCTCACTGGATCGATCTCACTATCGACCTCACGGGACACCACGAGACGCCACGATACATCGCCGGGACCCCACGGCGGGACACCGCGGGACATCATCGGGACAACGCGGGCCAATTCGGCGGGACAACCCCAGCCACCGCGCGCCCATTAGAGGACCGTTTTTTTTTGCATCCGAATCGCTCTGGCGACGGCGGGATCATTCCTCCTCGCGCGCCCACCGCGACACACCGCGGGACATCACCTGGACTACGCGAGAAATCACGACGGGACACCACAAGCCACCGCGCGCCCATTGGAGGAGAAGTTTTTTGCATCCGAATCGCCTTGGTGACGCCGGAATCATTCCTCTCGCGCGCCCACGCAGTTTAGCCTCACCCGTTCGCGCGACACGAACACGAAGCTGAAACCGTTTCCCGGTGGGGGGCTCTCCGTTCCACTGCGATCTCACCCCCCAACCTCCGATCTCATGGCTCGGGCCATGGTGCGCATCCCCCCTTTTCGTGGCCCCTCTCGTCGGCGCACCCGTGAGAGGCGACAAAGCCTCCGCATTGATTTTGCGCAGCGCGCTGGAGGCCGGAAGCCTCGAGCAGAGCCCGCCTCGGCCTCCGCGCGCTCGCGGGCGCCCCCGAAGGCGCACCCCGCCGACGGCGGACAGAGGCGAGGAGCTGCAGCAGCCGCCCCGGCGCGTCGGGTGGGCGAGGTCGAGTGGGGCGAAGGTCGGGGGCGGCCAAGAGATGGAAACGACTATGAACGGGGGGTAGCATGACCGCGGCCATGCTATCCTTCCGCATTTCACTGCGCCTCTTCTTACCTCGGTACGTCCCCTGACCCCCCCCCCTCGTCCGCGCACGTCCCTCGGGCCATGATTTGCGAATCCCCCTCTGGGACGCCTCTCTTGGACGCCCCCGAGAGGGGCTTTGCTCTTTTCGTATCGGTTTCTCCCGTGCAAAGCAGAGGCTCTCTGCCTCAGGGATGAGGGTTCTCGATCTGTTTGGTGGGTCCTGAGAGACAGGGGGTCTTGGAGGAAAGAAAGTCCTGGTGGAGCCTGGGTGTCTTGGAGGAAGTGAGGGGCAGCGCGAGGTAGCAGATAAGTTGCTCTCATCACCGTGTCTTTTGATGCCATTTTTTGATTGGGCTCTGCTTCCCAATTGTTTGGCCCAGATCGGAGAGCGTGTCTCGCGTTCAGGTGAGGGAAGGCTCGAATCGCACAGTGTGATATTCGTGCCTCGAGGCGTCATACTTAAGTGGAGTCTCTAGTCCTACAGTCGAGACGATTGGATTTTGGGGTAATGCACCAAGGGAAAAAGAAACAGGTCAGCGACGCCTTCGGCTCAAGACCCTTTCTACTCACAGTCCCCTTCTATCTCGCACTATACCACACTTGTGATCATGGATGAGACTGTGCTGATCGCGGGCTTTGCAGTGGTGCAGTCAAATTGGCCTCGGGACCTCCTCATCCTCATCGCTGTGGCCTGTCGCGCGACAGTGGTCTCTGAGCGTGAAGCTGTTACATCACGGACCGGCGGCGGCAGCAAAGAGGACGAATGATAATCGGGGCTCGTTCCCAGTGCTTCGGGAGCAGGCAACAATGCAGAAGTTGATCCTCACATTTCGTGGGTTGGGTCAAAACGCTACCGAAGAGACGGTCAGACAGACCCCACTCGAGATTTTGAATATGACGAGGGCCCAGGAGGTCCAGCCTCGAGAGGAGCCCCAGCGGGCTGTAGTGGACGTGGCGACAGACCGAGCCTGTCGCGCACGCCTTGGGACATCGGCAGGGGCAACGGCACAGGGCGGGCCCAGTTCAGCGCCCACGGGAGGGCCATCAGGGACGCCAGCAGAGGGTTTCAGCTTCGCCTTCCTGGACAGTTGCGGCGCAATGCCGTTCAGTGGCGCGTTCTGGGAACGCCTAGGCAAGTAGGAGCAGAAGTGGACGGTCACCGCGATGTCTCCGACGGCCGGTGCGGTGGTAGCGGCTTGGGCGGTTTTTTGGCGAGCGCGTCGACGGTGCGTACGGCGGTGGCTGGAGCGCTTAGGAAAGACGCGGGTCCCCAAGGGTGCCACGGCGGCGCTTTGATTCGAGCTGCAGACACGACTCCAGAGGCGCCAGATGGCAAGAAAACGAAGGCAAGATGACGATTGATACTACGAGCCCAAAGTAGAGAAGCGCGATGTGTGAGGGCACCAACTCGAGGGACATAATTTCACCGACCCAAATACATGGGAGAGCTGGGCCAACCATTGCATGTGGAGTCGGAAGGCAAGTACAAACATGCTGGCCGACCTTTTTCCGCGCTCTGGACGAGGATTTTCAGCGGAAGCTGGAAGACATCCATGACGACGTTATTTGCAGCTCGGGCGGCTTCGTCTTGTTGTTCGACTTGGCGCCAGGAGAAAGACGCGGAGACAAGAGGCGAACGGTCGCCAAGGGATACCTTCTCGAATGTGTCAGGGGGCAAGGAGAGAGACACATCGAGTACCGCGCAAGGAGGGAACTCGCGTTCAGGCAGGCAGCTGGTCAAAGTGCACATGAAGGATTTGACGTCCTACGCTTCTGCCTGAATGCCGCGCGCCGCATTGACATCTCACATCGAGAGCATCTGAAGGTTACGAGGACATGCGCGATGGAGGACTTGAGCCCACTGCAGCAGGATGGGAAGAGGCGTTATCGGTCGGCCCCTTTTGGCCTTCCCCGCGCCCACGTCGCACGCGGGCGCCAAGGGGGGGGGACTGTCTGATTGACTACTCGGACGTGCGCCCGTTGAACTCCGAAGGCGAGTAGCTGTCTGGGCAGTGCTCGGGCAGCCAGGAGACGCGCCGACGGCTTTCGCGGCCCTCGACATCGAAAGGCGCAAGACACGAAAGGCGCAAGACACGGAATTAGACGCCTGGGGGCCAGGCGCCACCCAATTTCACGGGCCGCACCTCCATGCACATCCACGCGCCGGCGCGGCCCAGATGCTTCTGGGGATAGATGCACTCGCGGGGGTCGTCGAGATGGGCGCCTCGACAAAGAGCGCCCCGCCCCTCCCCCTTGTGCGCGCCCAGGATGTTCCTGGAGCCATACTTGATCTTTCATGCCAGATCATGCAGTACACTAGGCTTGGAGCCTGCGCCCCCAGGGGTCGGCCCCCGTCGGCACATCGCACCATGCAGGCGGGCGAGTTCCAGAAGTCCGCCAGTGAGCTTGCGCCGCCAGAGTCGACGCGTCGCCCCCGTCCGAAGATGCCGAGAGTCTTCGCCCTTACTCTTCGCGCTGGCGCCCGAGCCGCGGCCGGCGTTGGCCCTTGTTCCTCGACAGCGGCTGAGACGGCCTAAATGATATCGCCCGGGGGGGGGGGCTTTTCCAGGGGAATGTCTGGGGCGGCGAGATCGGGCAAAGAAGCGGCGCCCAGAGGCGCGCGGGGCTCATTCGCGAGCGTTCGCAGCGCGAGCTACGGGGAGACACTGCAAGGCAGACAGGCGCCGCTACTGCCGGAAGGGGCACGTCTACGCGTGTTGGGGCCTGCGACAATGACGCCCCCGCCCACTGCTGCGCCCGGGGCGTAGCCTTGTCGAGCAGCGCTGAGCCTCGCGGCCCACCCGAGACCAACGCACGTTCGACCCGGGCGCTGATTCTGCTCCGTTGAGCGACGACCCCGGCGACGCCGCCGCGTCAGAAGGAGGAGAGGGGCCGCGTGCCACGGCGGAAAGCGGGGGGAATCGGCCTGCGTCGACGGGGCCGCGGGCGCGCGTTTCCGACGGCGTCGCCAACGCTCGGAAGGGCGATGCGGCGCTAATCTCGCGCGCGATGAGGCGGGCGGCTCGCGCTGGGGAGGAGTTCAGCTTTTCCTTGCGCAACCTGCGTATTGGGCCCTGTGGGGATGCAACGCGCGCCTGCACCCTCCGACCTGCGTCGGCGACGGGCCGAGCAAGCGCGGCCGCCAGTTCATCCGCGGCGCGCGAGCGCGACGAGGGCGAGCCACCGGGAGATCGAGCTGGCCGCGGGCGCGATCGAGGGGGAGGAGGAGCTTCGCCTCTTCAAGAAAAGGGACGCGGCGCGCCTCCTGCGCGGTCAGGGGCCCGGGCTGGTCCCGGGCGGGAGGGGATCCGGCGGGCGCCCGCCCGTCGCCCAGGCCCCCGCCGTGCTCTTGCCTTGGGCGGATGCCCATTCGCCCCTGGACGTCGACCCAGGACGCGAGCGCGCCGAGCGACTCCATCGCATGCCGGCGGGCAACCGACTCAGCAGCCTCAGCGGCAGGAGTGGTTCACGCTCGGCCGAAGGCGGGGAAGCAGGGCCCATATGCGTTGCACCGCAGCTGGAGGGCCTTGAAGGGGTGGCAGAATCTGAGCCCCTCGACGTCCCGCCTGCCCGAGGCGCGGCCAATCTGGTGCGCCATCGTCAACGGGGCGCTGTGCGGTGCGACATGGCACTGTTCATCTGCCTCATGTGGAGCCTACGCGCGCCAGGTCCGCACGATGGAGCTCAGGCCCGAGTGCGCGCACCCCCCCAGCCGAGTCGCCACCTAGTGGGCGTTGCAGCTGATTCCCGAGGCCGTGGGAGTTCCTTCCAAGGCGAAGGAGTTCGGCGTGACGATCGAGCTGGATCGCGACTGGTGGGTCAGCCTGACACCGATGATCCAGGCCCTCAGTTCACGGCCACCTGGAGAGCGGGCCTGGACATTCAGCTACCCTCAGCTGGCCGCTGCTGCGCAGAGTGCCGCTCGCGACCTGGGCTTCAACCTCGTGGTGTACCAGGCCAGGCACAGCGGCGCCAGCTCGGACATGGCCTCTCGTCGCCGTACGTTGGCGGGGGTCAAGGAGAGGGGCAGCTGAAAGTCGGACCGCCCCGCAGTGATGCACGAGAAGGGGGCGGGGCTCAGTTCGACGCGGGCGGCGCGCCCGAGCTGGCTGCGACAACGCGCAGAGTTGTGCGAGGAGAGATTCGCGGAGATGGGTGCAGCCAAAGCCCGCTTTGCATTCCCGATGGGCGAGCGTCGGTTGTTCATTTTAGTCGTCCGCCACCAGTTCAGCGCACCTTCGCAGGTGGTCGCAGCAGGCTTGCTAGCGAGGTACACTGCAGACCCGAGTGCATCGGACTGCGTTTCGTTCAGGCTCAGATCGGACATGCGAAGGGGTAAGGTTGGCAGCGTTTTCATTTCCGCGCAGAGCCAGATCTTCTCGCGAGGCCTTGTTCGCCTGGCGTCAGACGCAGAGAGCCTCGGTCTCCCGCTGGCGGTCCGCTGTTACAAATCCGCGGGCGAGCACGTTGCCGCCCGCCTCCCTGTGCTCTCTTCCAGGCCTCTACTCTCCAACATGCGTGGACCTTCAACGCCAGGCACTGCGTCGCTACGTTTGCCAGCGCCTGCCGACTAGAGCCGCTTAGGGCTACGGCGCCTTGGCGCTGGGGCCCGAGGCGGCCGCGGGAAGCATGCCCCCCGCCCTCGCCCGTCGGAGCTGCCCCCCGCATGTGTTCCACAAGGCCGTCGTTTTGATTGTTTCAAGCTAGGCGCCCTGCGGGCGCGAGACCTTTCGGCGCGAGAACAGCTTCTGTCCTGGGAATCTGACTTGGGTGTGGTTTCAGAGAGAGGCGAATCGAGGCCCCCGCCCCTCTTGCTTCGGATCCGAGTCGTTCTGACCAGCGAGCTTAGTAGAGAGAACAGCTTCCCGCTGAAAAAAACCAAGGGTGAGCCATGGGGGTGCGTCCGCAGTAATGACTTAGCGGGGCTTTGGGGTGTCGGTCTCATCGATCTTCATTGGCGTTGATCCGAAGTCATCCTGGCCCGCGTCCCTTTCCGAGCCGCCTGGCCCACCCTCCTTTATTCAGTTGTTGTGCCCCCCTTTCTACCAGGGTGCGGTTTCAAGAAGAGGCAAATCGAGGCACCCGCCCCTCTTGCTTCGGATCCGAATCGTCTTGACAAGCGACCTTAGTAGAGAGAACAGTCCCCCGCTGAAGAACCAAATTTAAGTCAATCTCATGGAGCCGACGCGTTTTGTGTTCATGCTTCTTACGTTTGTATGTGTTGTGTTTTCTCTTGTTTTGTTTTTTTTCTCTCTCTCTCTCTCTCTTTCTCTTTCTCTCGTTGTCTCTCTTGTTGCCCTCTCTTTTGTTCTTGATGGTCCTCTCTCTCTCTCTCTCTCTTTATCTCCTTCTCTTTCTCTCCGCCCTTCATCCAGTTTGAAGATCACTGCTTGTCGGGGCACTGCAAGATTCGTGTGTCGAGGCGCGCTGTTTAGTTGATGCCTCTAGTCCTGCAGTCGGGACCCCGTGAGCTTGAGGTCTTCTGAAACGGGAACAGAAGGATCTGCGACCCCTTTGCCTCAAGACCTACTTAAAATCCTCCGTGCTTGTGCTCTCACATCTTCTCAATTCTCCTTCTGTTCTAGCACAATCATAATTATGAACGAGGTTTTGCTGATCGCGTGCGCTGCTGCGGTGCAGTGAGATATGCTCCCGGACATCAGCAGTTTCATCGCTGTCGCCTATCGCGCAACAACAGGAAACCGCGACAACTGACAGTCATGGTTTCATGCACGTGGGACGCCGAAGTAAAGGAACTTGGTTCAGGCCGGACGTGGCTCTGTTGCGTCTAGGGTGTTTTGTTGTTCACGGCTTCAGCAGGGAATATTCTCCCATTTGTTGGGGGAATCAATATCGCCGCCTACCGCCGGAAGACGAGCACGATCGCACATGCGAGATTCCAAACTAATGTTGTAACGACGTCTTGGCCCAGGACACAGCGCGGTTTATGATCGCTGGACGGGGGGACCTTAATTTCAATGGGTGGCTCGAGCAATGGGAAGAGGGGGCATGCGCGCTGGCGCTAGTGCCGTCGGCACCGACGACGACGATGACGACGACGACGATTGAGCATCAGTGGGGTGCTCCATCAGCTGGACAATTATGTTCGACCTGGAACGACCCCTACTGATATTCAATTGGGGCTTCTATCTAATTTACTAGGATGTTATGGAAGTTGGATCGAGCTCCAGTTGGACTCGATCAAGGCTGGTTCACAGCAGGATTCAATTACAGCTGGTTCGACCCCTCCGAGATGTTATTAAGGTTGGATCGAGTTTTAGTAATATTCAGTTACAGGTCCTGATAGAGTTGGATCGGGCCCCATTGGGACGGCTCGAAGCTGGATAGAATCCCCATTAGATTCTATTGGAGTTGGGTCGAGCCGTCGAGCCTGAGTACGATTCAATCGAGGTTAGCCGGTTAGCCTCAGCACTCGTAGGATTTGATCCGAGCGTGAAAGAACCGCAGTTCGATGACATGTAAGCGCGATCGAGCCCCGCAGGGTCCAATGACAGCTGGATCCAGCTATAGTAGGATTCTATCTGAACTCGATTGAGCCCGAGTCGGATTTTGAAGTTTTGCCCGAGGGGGGGGGGAGTCGAATCCCCCCCTGGAAGAAGCCCCCCCCCCATTCATCGGACACCCCAACCCTTGGCGGGGGGGGTAGACAAGCCGGTGTCTGGGCGGGAAGTTTTGGCGAGTGGTTCTGACGTGTCCATGGGTTTTTGTCTAAGCGAATATCCGCGAAACGCGTTCTCTCAGACACAGGAGTGTAGTCAAAACGGTACCCTTGTGTTTTGTAACGAACGTTGGGGGGTCCCTCCCGTTTCGAGGGTTAATCGTGCCTTGGGTCGCGGCGCCTTTGGTTTGTTGCGCTTCCTCGCGTCGGCAGTCGGTTGGGAGTTGTCGGCGGGATTTGCGCCCTCGGTGTTCACAGGCAGAATTGAAGGTCTAGTCCATTGTAGTTTCGCCAGGGGCTCGATGTTCCTAAGTCTTTCAAGGGTTTTCCACTGGCGCTCCTCGTACATACGGGCGCGAATGAGATCCAAGACAGGCTTCTCACCGGTCAGGAGCCGTGCGCTATCACGCCAAGCCTTGACAGGAGGATGTGCGAGCGTAACTATTTGCGATCCCCGTGTCCCCAGCAGGCCATGGAAAAACATGCCAACAATGTTGAATTGAACAGACTCTGGGATCCTCTTGGAGGCCTCTTTCAGAGTCAGTCAGCTCGGATGTTTCTTGAGGCATTGGGCACCGTTTGAGATCCTTTGAGCCCTTCTTTGGGCTTTTCTATGGCGTATCTGGGTTCTTGGCAGCCTTCCTGGAGCCAGCCTGCAGGCCAGATATCTCGGCATCACCAAAACATCTTATGCGCGCTGGTCCTGCAGTGGCGGCGAGCACATGGAACATCTGGTAGCAGAAGCTTCGTGGCGGGCGCTGCCCTGTCCCTCCGCTTGGATAGCGATACAATATAGGACGTGTATGTGTGATCTGTGTTTTGGTCGGGCTTGGGTCTCCAAGGAAAAAACGTCGTATGTGTATGTCCTGCTGCATCTCAAGGGGGAGGGTGTGATTCACCTTCCGACTCCATGCCAGTCGTTCAAAGTCTTTCGGACTCCGTCCAACCCTCCGTGCTCTCGTAGGCCCGTCCTCCTGGACGTATGCCGGCGCCTCGCCTCGCCACGTCCCGCTCCAGTCGTTCACTGCGGCCGGTCCCTGAACCGCTGAACTGGCCACGAGCGACCCGCGGAGGGGCGGGCAGGCCGCTGCGGAGGCCGCCGGCAGCGCCCTGGCGGTGGCCTCGCGGAAGTTGCGGGCGGAGTTCAACAGCCGCGAGGCGTTCCTCATGTTCTCGTGGAAACGTAAGACTCGAGCTCGCCAGAGCTCGGTGTTGCCGACGCTTTTTGACGAGCCCATCCTGGATTCTGACGGTCCAGTTTTCATAGGATCGTTGCAGCGGGATTTCGCATCAAATTTCATATTGGGCCTCGTCATGTTTCCGGCGGCCCCGTCAGGCCATCGCGAGTCTCCCGAACCCTAGTCTTGCGTCTCCCCGAGATTTCAGACAAGCAAGGGAAATTACATAAACATGCATTTACGGAGGTCCGCGGGGGGTTCTTGGGTTCGCGCTGGGCTCCCCTGGCGGCGCCTCCGGAGCCGCCACTGCCGCGCTTAACGTGCCAGGGGATGGGGGTCCAGCGCCGATCCAAGAAATGCATCCGGACCTCCGGAAGACATGTTTATGCCATTTGTTGTTGTTTCATCATCGTCATCATCGTCGTCACCATCATCATCACCATCATTACAACTGGCTGCTGTCTGATAGCTGGGCTTGCGCTCTGGCAGTTTTCGCGCTTCATCGGGATCGGTCATCGTCGTCATGAATCGCCATCTTCGCCCACACGCCAATACCTCCACCAGATGATGGATCGAGTGCGCCGTAAGAAGTCCTGCAAGAGGGAGGAGGCGGAGGAGGACGGAAGAGGGAGGCAGCACACGGCCCCGAAAGCGGAGTTGAAACGAGGGCCCAAAAACGTGCTATGGCCGTAGACTCGGACAGGACTAGAGAGGACAGCGGGAAACACATTAACTCCGTCAGGACGCGGCATCGCGAGAAGCATTGAGAGAACATCGCTACTGATTTTGATCTTGTCGAATGTGCGCCGAACGCTCACTTTCCCTCTACCCTTCTTCAACAGATGCGTTGAGTAAGCAAAACTTGACTTGTCAGTATCATCACCACCATCACGAACATCAGCACCTCTTTGCTGGCTCCCGACTCGGCCTGCGCCCCGCGCGGGCCTCATTCATCGTGTGGCAGTTGTTTGCGCATGGCAGCGGTGATCATGGCAGTTCAGTCGGACCGGCTACCATCATCAATGACCTCGGTACGGACTTCATGCGGCAGGTGTCCGCCAAGGTGTCTGGTGTTCTTGCCTTCGCCGCCTTAATTTTGAGCCGCCTAGATTGGTGTTGGATTCGCATTTTACCCACCCGGGGGACAGACCGATCAGCCGTAGGTTCTTTTCGTGTTGACGCGGCGGCGACCACAGCGCGGGCTAACAAGGATGAAAGCCGCCAGGGGTTGGAGTTGGCCTTCCATCGAAGAGTCCGCGCTATCAGGAAACCGCGATCGTTCAAGTTTGAACGATGGGCGCGGTGTCAGAAACTAACGCCGACGCCGTCACGGCACGAACTGTTTTTGATTCGCGGGTCGAGAGCGCACCTCTTCTGGTCGAGACCAAGTCACGGCACGAACACGCCGTATTCTCTTTGGTTCCCTCTCGCTCTTTAGATGTATGTCTCTGCGTCCTTCTTTCACACGGGTGGACATTGAGCAAAAACCCGGAACCGCATGCCCATGCCAATTCCATAGTTTGCGTTCGGATTGTTCTACACGGTTTTGGTTCTCGGTCGGGTTCGCACGGCTCGCATCGATATCTTGAGTCCGCCCGTGCCACGCAGGAGAATGATTGTCATTTGAGTGAGGCACCTTCTTCTAAATCAATCCGCGGCCGCGTCCCAAGTCGCCGCGACCGAACAGGATGCCAAAGTACTTGGCCAGACAATGAACTATCCACCAGTGCAAGTGCAGGTGTTTTGGGGGAGGCGGGGGGTGGGGACCCACGCTGTGCCCCCCCCTCACTTCAAAGAGAGCCTCGGGCCCCACAGGCCATAGCCGCGATCGCACGGGACGCCGACGCCCCGGCGGACACGGCCGCCGTGTTGGAGCGACTCGGCCGGGAGTTGGCCGAGGGCGAGCTGGACCTAGACGTGCTGGTCCTCGGCGAGGTCCGGGGGGGTGGGTCGATGCAGGTCCCGGCCCCCGGAACGCTGGGGGAGGGACAGCGCAGCAACGGCGCGCCGCCGCGGGGAACCCATCGGCGTGTTACCGTTGAAGACACACACGCACAAGGTCTTCCACCAGTAAACGATTGAGTAACATGCTTAATAGCTACCCACGGCGGCGTGGGGTCAGATCTTCCCCACGCAAATGACGATGATGCATCGCCGACGTCGCTGATGCATCACCAATGCATCGGCGATGCGGCGCGATCTTCCGTCCATAGTTGTTGGAACCGCAATTGTGAGGCCTGTATCAGGGGTGGTCCGCGGTTCGGTAGGTTCGGCTGCCTCTCATCGGCGTCACCCCAACATGCTAATATGATGTGTTCCTGGCCCCCTCTCCTGGGGCGACGCGCGCGTCAAGAGATCTTATATTAAAAGCTCCGCGGCGGGCGCTTTCTTGCCATACATCTCAAGAAGCGATCTACTACAGCATGGTTGTACTACATGTTCGTGTCGGGCGCTCGCCTCCAAGGAGGACACATAGTGCTAGTATGTCCTTGCGCGTCTCATCTCAGTCGGTTGCTATGTTTCTTGGATCGGTTCGGTCGGTCCTTGGTTGGAGGAGGGACAGATCATGTTACCGTTACCTCTCGTAAATGGCCTTCGTCGCCACGGTTGTATTCGCCACGGAGTCATGGCCAGAACGCGCCTTGGGAGATGCCGAGGGGCAGCGGTATCGGCATTGTGTGTTAGGTGTCTCCCCTAATCGTGTCGTTGCTGCGACGTTGCACCCGTCTGGGCCGCTTTAGGACTGTCGATGTTGGTCAGTTTCGGTTTCGTCCTCGGTTCGGCAGGTTCTCTGTTGTGACGCCGCCGTGGACGGCCTTGCTCATCTCCCTCGGATTCAGGACAGCGGCCGGACGTGGTCATTGCCGTACCCCCTCCGAGGGGCCATCAGCTTCGGCACCCCTCTCCGAAGATCGCCAATGCGATGGATCCCAAGGGTGGGGAGAAGCTCAGCTCCCGCAGGTGTGGCACGTCGGAGAGGGGAGGTGCTCGTATACGTCCCCTCCTCCTCTCCGCCGCCCCCAGCCTTCCTGCATGTCCCTCTCGCACGCCCCTCCTGCCCCCTCCCCCTCGTCTTGGGGCTTTCTCTCTCTTGCCCTGCTCCTATCCCCCATGCCTCCCTCGGCAACGTCTGACCTCTCCCCCATCCCCCTGGGAGATCCTCGGACCCGCTGTCCGACCTGCACCCTTGCAGATACCGTCTCCGTCGATTTCTTCGCGGCATGCGTCCCCACCTCGAGGCCGCCGGCTGGAGGCGCCGTGGGTCTCTGGGCCCCTGCGGCTTGGGGGCCTGACGAGGTCCACACCGTCAGATCCATCCCAGTCCCTTGCAGGCCAGGGCCCCTCAGCGCCACCCAGCCTGCGTCTTGCCTTCGAGGCTTGGGGCGGCTGCCCGTCGAGAGGCCTCGAGAGTTCCCCCAGGGGGTCGTTCCCCTCCCGGAGCCACTTTCGTTTGCCCCCGGGCCCGGCAACGGCCCCACAGAGGACGAAAAATCATTCCTTCGGATGTCTTGGACGGAGCCCTGGACCACTGGGCGCAGGGTACAGGGGCAGCGACGTGATTCCTACCCTCTCATGTTTCGCTCAGGTTATTCCGTGAAACTTAGTGTTTCACTGGCGAGCGATTACTATGCCAGCCCCTTGCCAAATTCCGATAGCGCGCTGAGGACACATAGTGGTTCACCAAAGGCGCCGTCGCCAAAATCATCACCAACACATTCAAAACATGTCGCATCCAGGGCACCGTCGCCAAACATTGGTCTGCAGCAATACAGTAATTGACAGTAGGGGGAGATATGCTCATGGGAGAACGCATCTACCTCCAATCGCCCACTCATCCCCGATAGGGCCCGATAGCCTTCCCCCGCTTAGGAAGGTGCGGATTCCATGTCGGGGCCCACTGCAGATCTATCGGCTGCGCTTCGACGATTCAAGCCCGATGCTCCCCCCTGAGCCGGTCCCCCCCAAGCGTTCCGAGGAGTAGATTTATCCATCGCCGCCGCCTGGGGGATCGATCTTCGGGGACCTCGGCAGGCGGTGGATATGGATACATTCTGGCCCCCTAGGGCCAAAGCATGTTCACTTCCACCTTCCGTTGGGGTCCCAGGATGTTGGTCCCTTTGGAGGTATTTAGGTGCATGGATATATCCCCGCCGCGCACGTCGTTCCCCTTGATGGGGGCCGTAGCAGGGGGGTGGCAGGCGCTCGCGGAAGACCCGTCGCGCCGCACCGTCACGGCGACCACGCCCATCGGCCCCGGCGGCGGGGACCCGGTGCGGAGAGTCAGGAACGGGACGCCCCGCCGGGCGCGGCCATCGGCCCATCGCTAGGTGAAGGTGGGCACGGCAGGTTCGCGTCGCTCGAGCACTGATGAAGCGCCCTGGTTTGTGTATAGGCCTTGCAAGAATCGTCTGATGACCCCCTTGCGACATTGTGGTTGAGGCAGTCATACTTTGAACCGTTCGTTATGTTAGAAGAGTGTTCCCCAAACTGGGCTTGCACATAGGTCTTCTTAATTGTGTACGAAGGAGTCAGATGGGATGCCGAGGATTTGCCACGTCGCCGCCCGTTGCCGTATCGTTGCCGCTTCGTGCATTATTTAGTATGCCGAGGATTCGCCACGCTTCCGCCTCGTGGCCGCCTCGTTGGAACCCTTCCCACTGAATTTGCACCACATGGTTGACATCACACAAGTTACGCGACATGGTTTTGCACTACATGATTTGCACCGCATAGCTTGCACTACATGTATGACACACACATACATCGCTTACACCATATAGCATTCACATCCAGTCCACGTCACATATATTACACGACATCGACATAGCATACACTACAGAGCCACGTTGATAAAATGAGAATTGATCCGACCACCCTCCCCCTGACTTTTCTTCCCCACCCCGTGTCGACACTGCAAAGTACACGTGAGTTTGCCACACCGCTCATGGCCACTAATTCCGCACAATCCCAGGCCAACCGGCGCCCCCCTATTTTTTGCGCGCGCATCCATTCATCCGTACTAGGTTATATTTCGAGCATTTGTTGCAGCAAATTGCACGACGTCTCCACGCACGTGCATATGTCGAAAGCAGATCAACAGCACGAGTGTTGCAAGCACTTCAGCAGAACAAGTGCCGCAACTGAGGAGGCCGCTGCCCAAGATTACCCCCCCCCATACATGAGTCCTTGGACTCAGAGAAGCCAGGCCGTAGCCGAGGCCGCCGGGCCCTGGCATGCAGCTTGTTCAACGACGCGGACCTTTTTCTTGCATTGCATGCATGAGTAGCTTTGCGTTCGCCGCGCAAGTGCGTCGCGCGCACCAGTCTGCTTTTGCGCAGCCAGCGTAAGCTTCAATCCCACCCCATTGCGGATCGCTGTGAGCGCGATTTTGAGAGCATGTTTCGCGCGAGCTTCAGCACAACATGTGTTTTTGTTGTCATTGGTGCGACGCGCTTGCCCCGACGCTGGCGCCTGCCTTTGCCCCGCCAGATTCAGTGGGCGTTGCGAGACTTTGCAGGTTTCTGGATCTTCCTTGCTGCTCGTCGGCTCTTTTTCTCTGTGAGGTTTCTCTGCGCGTGCGGGCATCCAGCGAACTGGCCGACGAGATGCAGGCCCAACGTGCCCTCGTCAGCCCATACTTCGATGAAGGCTTTCAAAGACGAGGGCCAGACTTACTGCGGCGAAACATCTTGTTCCCCCTTCCCCGCTCGCCCCGCGGCCACCGGCTCCCGCCCGCGGCAGGCGATCCCCCCGTCCGAGAATCGGCCTCGCGATGCGCGCGCGTCGCGCGAGTTAAGAAAAATGCGCTCCCATCGGGGGCCTTCTGGGGCCCTCGCAGGGCGGCCCCAGTTAACGTCGAACAGACAAAATGGTACGCTCGCCAATAGCCCCCAACGGAGCCAAACAAATCGCTTGTGAGGGCATTATCGGGTCTCCCGGTGTGCCGCGGGGGGGCCTGGCAAGCATATCGAGATTATGTTTGGGCCTCTTTTGAGTTTCTTCTGTGCAGCATCGGGGCAAAATTGAAACCCCGTGTCTCGTCTCCATCTCCTCGACCCTCTTTGTCTCGTCTCCCCGTTTCCTCGGACCTCCTCTTTTCCCCTCCCCCGTGTCCCGCTCGCTCATATCCTCGACCCTCGTCTGCCCTCTTTGTCTTCATCTCCTAGTCTCTTCTGTTTCCATGCGTTCGTCTATTTCCGCCCCGCCGTCGTTGCCGGGGTCCTGGCCCCTGTCTCCTTTAACTTGCCTGCCCCCCTCGCCTTTTTCGATTCGCTTCACGTCAGAACCTCGCCCTCTCTCCTCGCCCTTCTTTTCCATCGTCGCCCCGTCGCCTCCAAAACCCCGCCTCCTTGTTCTCCTCCTCGCCCCCTCGTCGCCACCAATCGTGGGCGATTGTCAAAGTCAGGCAAACTGCGGGGGTCGGTTCCTGTGCCCGAGCAGCATTTCGGCTCCCAGTTTTGCTTCGGCTGTCCCGCGGCTGCCCCGCCGCTGTCCCGCGGCTGTTCCGCGGCTGTCCCGCCCGACGGCCCGCTTTGCCTCGTCTGTCCCGCGCCTGTCCCGCAGTTGCCTTGCGGTTGCCCCGCGGTTGTCCCGGCGCCGTCCGGTGATGTGTTGGCGCGGTTCGGCGTTCTCGTGGGCTTCTGGCAGGCGTTCTCTGGCTCTCATCCCCGCCAGCCCGCAGCGTTTGGTGCTGCAGCGGCCGAGCCTGATCTGCGCCCCGTCCACACTTGCCACTTTTTTGCGCAACGATCGGCCCACTCCTGATTACATAGGGCCCCTTCCTTTTTGTTGGTTCTCCTCCTCCTCCCCCTCCTCTTCCTACTCCTCCCGTTCGTCGCCCCATTCCCCACTTCGTCCCTGTTTTGTGCTTTTGTTTCGCCTTCGTTCGCCCCTTGTCCCTGCTCCATCCTCTATGCTCCAATCACCTGTTGAGGATGCGCGAATCGTGGAACATTCGCCGGTGCGGCACGTCAGACGAAAGGCATCCGACTAAGTTTCTGGGCGCAAGTGGCTTAGGCATGAGCCTTATATGTTCATTTTTGCACCTTCGGGTAGGGGCTCACCACGTCGCTGGCGCCCTTCCCAGGGGCGTGGACTGGAGTTTCGCCCACGTGCCATGGAATCCGTTTTGACCCAGGATGCTTCGAACAAAGTTCCCTGGTGCCCCAACTTGGCCCTCCAGACGGCGCAATATACGCCAAATGGGGCCGATGCTGTTTCGATTGCGCCACCTGGGAATGATGGGGCTGCTTCGAATTAGCTGGAGGTGGCCACGGGCCCTTTCTGGATGACCCCGAGGGGGCCAACATGTTTGATGATGCAAGTTGTTGGAATGATTCTGGTTGTTTCGCCGTTTCGTTTGTCCCTGGCAGGGGCCCGACCGCGGATCTTAGCAATGAGTTGTTCTTTTTACGCGGGCCTGCATCTTGGCCGGACACAGATGGTGGCAATGCGCGAGTGCATGTTCATGTGCCCGCGGGCTTGCGTTCGCTCGCGCATTCGCTCACACCCGCAAGGGCACTGGCCACTTTGCCCACGAACCCCCGCCCGTTTCTCCCTGGATGTTCGTAGTTTTCTGTGCGGGCTTTCTCGCAGGCGTGCACAAAGTTGGGTACCCGGCAAGCGCTGCACTTACTTATCACTTCTGGGTGACATCCACTTGTGCTTGCCCGTGCCGCCCCAGATTTGCATGCGCATGCCTGTGCTCATCTGCACGTAATTTGCCGCTTGAGGGCAGTTCTATTTTGCGACAAGAATCGCTGCCCCACCGCCGCCCAGTCTCTCCCTGATGCGACCCTTTCGCTGTGCTGCAGCAGCGCTGCCGCTGCGCTGCCATCTTCCGCCGCTGTCATGCGGTTGACCCCCCTTTTTTTTCGCTTCGGAGTTGTGGCCGCGCCGCTGTCTCGCGGCTGTCCCGCCCGCCTCTTTCAGTGCACGGGCCGTCGCCTCGAAGGGACGCAATCTGCGGCTTCTTCAGCCGCAACCATTTTTCACCACAGATCTTGCACATGGCCTTCCCAGGTGCGTAATGCTCCAGTCGTAAGCAAGGGATCTGAGTTTAGCAATATCGCCCCAAACCCGCAATTTCATGTCACCACGCGGCGCATCCGCGTTGATGTAGCATGCGCCAGATGCAGGAATCCGTCTCTACAAAAGTAATTATCCCGGCGAAGGACCCAACCATCTGCAGTTGTGAGCAACGCAATGGTAAAAACTGTCCTCGGTGGAGCTCCCTATGGGGCCTTGTGTGGGGTGCGCCGAAACCGGGGTGGAACTGCATGCGAACTTTGCCACAGGGGCATTCGGTGGAGCTGCCCATGGGGCCACGAACCGTGTGAGGGGTGCGCCGAAACGGGGGTGGAACTGCTTGCGAATTTTGCCACTCGGGCCCTCGGTGGAACTCCCCATGGGGCCACGAACCGTGTGGGGTGCGCTGAACTGGGGGTGCAACTGCGTGCGAACTCTGCCACTGGGGCCTTCGGTGGAACTCCTTATGGGGCCACGAACCGTGTGAGGGGCGCGCCGAAATGGATGGATGTGGAACTGCATGCAAACTTTGCCACTGGGGCCTTCGGTGGAGCTCCCTATTGGGCCACGAACCGTGTGAGGGGTGCGCCGACATTGGGGTGGACCTGCATGCGAGCTTTGCCATTGAGGCCTGCAGCAGAGCGCCATATGGGGCCACGAACTGTGTGAGGGGTGCGCCGGATTGGGAGTGGAACTGCATGCGAACTCTGCCATTGAGGCCTGCAGCAGAGCTCCCTATGGGGCCACGAACCGTGTGAGGGGTGCGCCGAAAGGGGGGTGAAACTGCATGCGAACTTTTCCACTGAGGTCTTCGGTGGAGCTCCCTATGGGGCCACGAACCGTGTGGGGGGTGTGCCGAGATGGGGTGGAACTGCATGCGAACCTTGTCGCTGGGGCCTTCGGTGGAGCTCCCTATTGGGCCACGAACCGTGTGAGGGGTGCGCCGAAATGGGGGTGGAACTGCATGCGAATTTGCCACTGGGGCCTTCGGTGGAGCTCCATATGGGGCTACGAACCGTGTGAGGGGCACCCGAAATGGAGGTGGATCTGCATACGAAGGCCTTCGGGGGAGCTCCCTATGAGGCCACGAACCGTGTAAGGGGCGCGCCGAAATGGGGGTGGAACTGCATGCGAACTTTGCCACTGGGGCCTTCGGAGGAGCTCCTTATGGGGCCACGAACCGTGTGAGAGGCGCGCCGAAATGGGGGTGGAATTGCATGCGAGGGGTGTGCCGAAATGGGGGTGGAACAGCATGCGAACTTTGCCATTGAGGCCTGCAGCAGAGCTCCATACGTGGCCACGAACTGTGTAAGGGGTGCGCCGGAATGGGAGTGGAACTGCATGCGAACTTTGCCATTAATGTCTGTAGCAGAGCTACCTATGGGGCCACGAACCGTGTGAGGGGCGCGCCGTGTGAGGGGCGCGCCGAAATGGGGGTGGAACTGCATGCGAACTTCGCCACTGGGGCCTTCGGTGGAGCTCCCTATCGGGCCACGAACCGTGTGAGGGGTGTGCCGAAATGGGGGTGGAACTACATTTGAACTCTGCCACTGAGGCCTGCAGTAGAGCTCCATATGGGGCCACGAAGTGTGTTAGGGGTGCGCCGGAATGGGAGTGGAACTGCATGCGAATTTTGCCGTTGAGGCCTGCAGCAGAGCTACCTATGGGGCCGCGAACCGTGTGAGGGGCGCGCCGAAATGGGGGTGGAACTGCATGCGAACTTCGCCACTGAGGCCTGAAGGAAAGCTCCATATGTGGCCACGAACCGTGTGAGGGGTGCGCCGACATTGGGGTGGACCTGCATGCGAACTCTGCCACTGACGCCTGCAGTAGAGCGCTATATGGGGCCACGAACTGTGTGAGGAGTGCGCCAGAATGGGGGTGGAACTGCATGCGAATTTTGCCATTCAGGCTTGCATCAGAGCTACCTATGGGGCCACGAACCGTGTGAGGGGTGCAACGACATGGGGGTGGAACTGCACGCGAACTTTGCCACTGGGGCCTTCGGTGGAGCTCCCTATGGGGCCACGAACCGTGAGAGGAGCGCGCCGGAATGGGGGCGGAACTGCATGCTAACTTTGCCACTGAGGCATGCAGTAGAGCTCCATATGGGGCCACGAACTCTGTGAGGGGTGCGCCGAAATGGGGGTGGGACTGCACGCGAACTTTGCCACTGGGGCCTTCGGGGGAGCTCCCTATGGGGCCACGAACCGTGTGAGGGGCGCGCCGGAGTGGGGGTGGAACTGCATGCGAACTTTGCCACTGGGGCCTTCGGTGGAGCTCCCTATGGGGCCACGAACCGTGTGAGGTGCGCGCCGAAATGGGGGTGGAGCTGCATGCGAACTTTGCCACTGGGGCCTTCGGTGGAGCTCCCTATGGGGCCACGAACCGTGTGAGGGGTGGGCGAAATGGGGATGAAAGTGCATGCGAACTTTGCCACTGAGGCCTGCAGTAGAGCTCCATATGGGGCCACGAACTGTGTGAGGGGTGCGCCGGAACCACTGAGGCCTGCAGCAGAGCTACCTATGGGGCCACGAACCGTGTGAGGGGCGCGCCGGAGTGGGGGTGGAACTGCATGCGAACTTCGCCATTGGGGCCTTCGGTGGAGCTCCCTATGGGGCCACGAACCGTGTGAGGGGCGCGCCGAAATGGGGGTGGAACTGCATGCGAACTTCGCCACTGGGGCCTTCGGTGGAGCTCCCTATGGGGCCACGAACCGTGTGAGGGGTGCGCCGAAATGGGGGTGGAACTGCATGCGAACTTTGCCACTGAGGCCTGCAGAGGGGTGCGCCAGAATGGGAGTGGAACTGCATGCGAACTTTGCCATTGAGGCCTGCAGCAGAGCTACCTATGGGGCCACGAACCGTGTGAGGGGCGCGCCGAAATGGGGGTGGAACTGCATGCGCATTTTGCCACTGGAGCCTTCGGTGGAGCTCCATATGGGGCCACGAACCGTGTGAGGGGCGCGCCGAAACAGAGACATGCAAGGGGCAGAGGCAAGGAGGGGAGGCAGTGGGAGGAGGGCGGGAAGGAGGAACGCGGGGACCGCCTCTTCAAAACGAGAACCCAACAACACGGGCTGGTCGGGAAGAAAACATGCGGGCCACGCGCGCCGCCACGCGCGCGTGTGTCGAGATCATTGCTACACCATTATTTTCCGAAGCATTTTGGATATCGGCCTTTCCATTCACATATGAGAAACCGCATGTCTGTCAGCGACCAGTCTGCCAGGTGTTTGCACTTCCGCGCGGCGCGCGCATTTCCCCACCATCCTCCGCACCATCGCCGCCACGTCAATCGCCGCCATTGAAGCCATCATTTCTCAATTGCCTTCGTTAATTGCACATTGACATCATTATCGTCATCGTCGTCACCACTATCGCTGCCACCGTCGTTATTATCGCCACCGTCTCCGCCGTTGCCGACGTCATCATGATACCGTGCCCGCCCGAGCCACCGACCTGCACTCAAACTCCCGCGCGCCAGCGCGACCTTTGAGACGCTCTGGGAAGTTCCCATCGGTGCGACTCATCACGGCTGCATCGGGTGCGCCAGACCAGCGGGTCGTTCTGCGCGCGATTTTGCGCGCGCCAGCGCAATCGCAGAGGTGCGACAACCAACGCCAGGTAGTCACAGCAATCGCGGCTGCATGAGTTGTGCAAAACCAGTTGCGTGTGGTAAGGTGGGCTGATTGCACGAGCAGTGGATTTGACGACGTAAGGTTCTGCGAGGTAGATTTCACAGCATAGTTTCACGTCCATCGCCCACAACACATTGTCCACACTACATGGATTACACCTCGAACGTCCCACCCCAACAGATCAATGACCCAATGTATGGGGTCCACGCTGGCTAGCGTTGTGATAAACATATTCTTGTTGTTCTAGGAATTGTCCGCGGTAGGGCTGTAAGACTACTTGGACGGCTGGCCCCTTCTCAACGAGTGTCGACGCGGCGACGACCCAGCTGCAGGATGTCAAGGCTGAACGCCGCCAGGGGCCCGAAATCAGCAAATGAGGAAAGATCTGGCGATCGCTCCAGGTTGAATGTTCCACGCGGTGTCGGAATTCAGCGCCAGGGTTGTCACGGCACGAGGCCGCCGTAGATGTGTGTGAGGATTCCCCAGTTTCATTCCATTTGGGGCGCCTTCCTGTTGCAGTGTCGAGTGGTTTTCCCGTCGCCTTCACCCCGCCCAGGGGAGACCATCCTCTCAGGCCCACAACAGGGGGAGAGCCGTCGCTTTTTGTCGCCTCGCCGTCGAGGTCGTTATCCGCCTCCTCGTCCCTCAAGGGATGGGGAGACGCCGATGCTGCTGCCCGTTCGGCTGCGAGATCCGAACCCTCGCCGGTCAACGACTCGGGCAACTCGATGGGCGGCGAAGATAGGGCTCGGAAGTCGTGAAGCACGCGGCGAAGTCCGAACCCTGCCCCCGCCTCCCGTGGGTGTTCAGGAGAGCCGATGATGGTTGGGGGGTGGCGTTCGGAGGTCCCCGCCCAGTCCCTTGTTGCCGCGGCTGGGTTCGCCCCGACAGCCTGGAGCGGCGCCCTGCGGGGCGCGCCCCGAGGAGGGAGCCGGGTCGGAGGAGAGGAGGCCCTGGCGGCGGGGACCCCAAGGGGGTGGGAGCCGGCTCGGGCGGGGGGCGCTCTGGCTGCCGCGCAGGGCCTGCTCGCCGAGCTCAGGGAGGAGGATGCTCAGCGCGTCGTGCCTGCGCTCTCCCGGTCCCCTCTCCTGCCCCCACCTTGCCTCGGGCCAGTGCGCGTGCGCCCAACGGTGGGGTTGGTTGGCGCAGACCCCACGGCTGCGTGCTGGTCTCCTCCGCCTTTGGTTCTTCCCTGCTCCCTCCTTCCCTCCCTCCTCCTTTGCTTCAGGGGGCTGCTCCTGTTGCGGGCCTGCCGAGGGATTTCGCCCCTCTTGGTGCGATCTATGAGCGTTTCCTCTGCTGGCCGCTGCCAGCGACCCTGTTTCTGGGGGAGGGGGGCCCTGCCGCGGGATAGCGGTGTGCCACCCGTGCATAGCCGCACCATTACTTGACAAATTACGTGGTGGGACTCCCTCAGAGTAGAGGCTTTTGGGGAAGGGCGAGATTTGGCTCGAGGTCTGAGGTTCTCGAGCGTCTTCGCCATTTCTCGGCGGTTTCCGAGCCTCGGGGTGCTCCCCAGCAGTTGCGCTTCGCCGAGGGCGTTCCGGCGAGTGCCTGGGTCGACCCGAACGGCCACCAGAGAGCCGAGTGAGATGTAATTGCCGCGTTCCCTGGCTACTTGTTGAGTAACGTGTTGACCTCGATCTACACGTGAGTGGCACAGGCCCATTCCGACGTTCGACGACTTTCCCCGTCCCTGGGACGTTTGCGACCCCAGTGTTTTCCACGATGGTGCCAGCAGCGACTTGGGCCCACCAACCAGGGTCCATTCGATCCGATCGACCCGATGCGATATCGGTTCCGACCGGCTCGATCCGATTCGATTCCGATAGGTATTCCGATGTTCCGATAAGGGCCAATGTTTGCACGATTTTTGCAGAGCCGATCCGTTACGATTTCCTTTGCGTGCCGACGCAGGCGGATCCGATGCACGTTCTGATCCGCTCCGGTTTCCCGACACGATGCTGACTGATCCTGCCAACAGGTCAGCAATGCGCTGAAATGAAGAATGGGGTAGCAAGACTCAATTCAGTACAGTCCGGACGCTGAACTAGTTGAGGAGCAGTTCGACTTCGGAATTTCCCTCAGGTCTTTTTATGATTGTTCCTGTTCCGCTTCCCGCGAACCAGGGCGTCTCTTGGGTCCAACGACTGTTTCGCTCCTCAATTAGCGTTGTTTATGCTATTACGGCAGGTGTGCGTCGTGTCCCCGCAGCAGGCGTTCAAGGTTGAACGCCGCCAGCGGCTTAGAATCAGCCGATGTGGAAGGATCTGGCGGTCGAAAAGCCGCCGGTTCTTCAAGGTCGAGAGACCCACGCGGTGTCTGAAACCAATGCCAGGGTCGTCGCGACACGAACCTGCCGTACGGACGCGTCTTGACTGCATCATTTCGAGCTCTTCCTCGTCAGCAGCCCGAGCTGCGCCGCGCGGCCAGCCAGGATGCGCCTGCCGAGCGTGGCCGACATTCGCGGGCTCCTCGAGACGCGCCGCGAGCAGAACCCGCGCGTGGCGCCGGGGCGGGTGGCGCCGGCGGCGCCTGCTGCATCGGCTGCGACGACGGCGTCCACGACGACGTCCTCGACGGCGGCGACGGCGGCGGCGGCGACCACGGCGGCGACGGGGTTGGCGGCGGCAGCCGCGGCGGCGGTGACCACGGCGACGGTGGCGGCGGCGGCGGGGCGAGCGGCGAGCGGAGAGGGGGGGGGGGCGTCAGAGGCCTGTCGGGGCCGCTTCTCAGGCGGCCTGCGTGCAGGCTGGCCCGTGGTTCTCTCGGAGGTCGTCGGAGGCCGTCGTAGGCCGGTGGGGGAGGGCGCTGATCTGTGGCAACGGCGAGGAGCCTGCTCGCGGCAGACGGCGTCTGCAAGAAGAAGTCAGAGGAGGGGGAGATGAGACAGCGGTGGTCGGCCTTCTGGGGGGGAGTGGGAGAGTGGGGGGCCTCCTCGCCAAAGCTGGACGCAGCTCGGACAGCTGGTGCTGCTGGACACTGCTGGAACCCGGGAGGGGTCCAGGGATCGATTTTGAGTTGCCGTTGTCTCAACTCGCCCTGCTCCGAAGAAGGGGAATACTTAGGTGGAGGGGGAGCGCGGAGGAGCGGGGGAGGGGACGATGAGAAGGCTCCAAGAGGTCATGGCAGGCGTTGAGGGGCTCTGGGGAGCGCAGGAGGCCCAAGGAGATCGTGAGGGGTTATGCTGGTCGTCCTTGCGGATGTCGGAGGGCTCAGGGCTCGGTGAGCGGAGGGAGGGGGAGGCTCGAAGGCGATAGTACGAAGCGGAGGGAGGAGTACAGTGAGGAGGCGGGAGGAGGAATTTGGGGAAGGATCCAGTGGAACAATCGGGAGTTCTTTTTGGAAAGAAACTATACTCCTACCGTATAGCTACAATTCGTGCAACAAGGCGGGTTAGAAAAGGGCAACGACATGTTCAACGACCGCCCCGCTCCATCCGCGTAGCTGTTACATTAGGTTAAACTTCTGGCCATGCGATGCAACGACGTCTCAGGCGAGAGCCCGACTTTCAAAAGGGGCCACGCTCCATCCGTGTGTAGCTTGTACGACCTTGCAATTGTCATTAGACATAGTGGGGGAGTCTCAGACGAGGGCCCACTTTTGAGTTGGAACCGCCCTCCACCCGTGTAGCTGTCATGTGTTTTTCAATGGCGAGTGTCCGCGGCGCCAAGGCGACAGCCCATTTTTGAAAACAGCCCGCCTTCCATCCGCGCGATTTGGGGAGACTCAAGTTTCAATATCGTAGGCGGTGGGGAATCACTGACGCTTCGCTTCGCTCTAGCGTGCGAGGCCGCAGGGAAACCCCCTCGGCCCGTCACGCTCGGGCCAACGTTCTCGGTGAGCCCCTTCGCTTTCTGTAGATAGGCTCCGCAGGTGGGGCACTTCCGCACTGCGTCGGCCTGTCACTGTCTTCCCCCGCCGCCCCAGCCTTGCGCATGAGGTCGCTGGGAAATCCCCCCGACCCTGGACGCTGGGCTGCAGGCCTTCCTCTCCTCGCGGCCACCCTGGGCGCCCCTGAGGCCCGCCTGCTAGCCCCTTCCAGTTCGGGTTGCCCCTGGCTCGCCTTGAGTCCGCTGCGTCTGCTCGCACGGGGTTGACGGACGTCTGGTCCTCCCCCACGTCGCCCCCCCCCCCAGGGTCGGCTATGATCCCTGGCTTTGGGTCTCGCCGCCCCCAGCGCAGGGCTGCGACCCTCGCTGGTTCCCCGCCTCTGCTGCTCCTGTCCCCGCCGTGGTGGCGCTTCCGCCGCTTCCACGCTCCTGCTCCGACCCTTGTCGGTGCTTGGCGATCCGGAACCTCTCCGTTGAGCGCCTGCATGCCCTGGTTGTCGTTTCCTTCGGCTGCGTCACGGCTGTCTTCGATTCGTCGGCTTCTTCCTCTTCGCCATCTTGGCGTTGCACGTCGACCTGTAGCCCTTCCTGGTCCTCCGCGATTCCTGAGCCGCAGCGTAGCCCGCTCCTGTGCGCTCTTGTGCGTAATTTAGGTCGTTGCGTTGACGCTTCGTTATGACGGCGCCCGGCGTCTTCCGGTGCGCTTGAGATCAGAAGAAGTATCCTCACGAATCTCTTTGGGTGCACGGCGCGCACGGGTCGCCCCCCCGGTCGAATGCCTGCCCCCCTGTCGCCGCCGCGGCCCCTCCGCTATTGCGGCCCCTTGCCCGAGACAGCCTCCCAGAATCCATTCGAAAACAGCCATCATGCGATTTGCCCGAATCAGGGATATTGAGGGATATCTATCAGCATGCAGTCGCGCTCTATACAGACGCGCTCCGGGAGCCTTTTGGAGGCATTTGGGCGTCATCGTGGGGCATTGCTGCGGCCTTGGGGGTCTCTCTCTAGGGCCCTCTAAGAGGCCTTGTGGGCGCTCATTGGACCATCTTGGAGGTATTTGATCACAGAAGGTGGGTGACCAATTGCGCCCCCCCCTCTCTTGAGGCGCTCTAAGGTGCCCTTGGTGTTTGCTGGAGCCCGTTTGGGGTTTTTTTGGGGCCATCTTGGAGCCATCTTGAGACCTCAACAGACCATCGTGAGCGAAAATGCGTTAATACACCACACATTTGTGTTTGTGAAGTTTTGTCCGGATGTTGGCCTTTCGGAGGGGTGCCCTTTGGAGGCTCAGTGGTACCGTGGAAGGGTCTTGGGGCGGTCGTGGGTTTTTTGGCGGCATGCGGAAAGTTATATTGAACCCTGTTGGGCTATACTGTGCGATTTTGTAGGCCACGCTTGGCTAGCTGAGGTCCTCTCGGGGCCATATTGAACCATCGTGGACGCACTGATGCCTCGCGGCTGGACCCATCCAGGGAGATGGGGTAAGGAGAAATATATATATATATATATATATATATATATATACACATATATATATATATATATCGCTCCCCGAGTTGGAAAACAGTGATTGCGATAACTTTCTCGCTGTACCGTTTCCGCCCTTACCGGGTTGGTGGTATTCTCAGGCGGACCGCCCAGTTCGCCCTAGCGACCAGCCTAGTGGTTCGACAGGGAGAAGTTATTTGTAAGGACGCGGGTGAAATGAGGATCGGGGGGGAAGAGGGGAACACACAATATAGGACGGGGCGGGGAGGAGAAGGCGGAGGAGGAGGAGGAGGGGGTTGCGGAAGGGAGGAGCGGAGGAGGGGAACGGGAGAAAGAGGGAGGGGGAGGAGAGAGGGATCAAAGTGGATGAGGGATGAATGGATTCGGGGGGTAGGGTTGTAGGAAACGATTCGGAGGAGGAGGAGGAGGAGGAGGAGGAGGAGGAGGGGGAGGAGGAGGAGGAAGAGGAGGGGGATGAGGAGAGACGAGGGAGGGGGAGGAGGAGGAGGAGGAGGAGGAGGAGGAGGAGGAGGAGGTGGCAGAGGAGGAGAAGGAGGAGGAGGAGGAGGAGGAAGAGGAGGAGGAGGAGGAGGGAGGGGGATCAGGATGAGGTTGAGGAGGAAGTCGGAGGAGCAGGCGGGGGACGCGAGGGAAGAAGGGTCGGATGAGATGAGGGGGGAAAAGGTGGCTTGGAGGGGATTGGGATGAGGTGCTGAGTGGGAGGGGCAGAACGACAGGAGGAGGAGGAGGAGGAGGAGGAGGACGAGGAGGAGATGGAGGAGGGAGGGTGGGGGCGGAGCAGCAATGGCAGGCCCGGCTGCCACTTGCTGGCGGTGCCTCTTGGCCGCCGGTGGTAGAGGGGGGGGTTGTCGAGCCGGAGGGGTGGAGCAGAGAGGAAGGCGAGGGGAAGGGGGAGGAGGGGAGGGCCAGCATGTAGGGGGGAGGAGCCCATGGGTGGCGCGCACAAGCGGTTGACGCGAGGGGCGTGTCCTTCTGCGAAGGCGGGCTGCTTCAAAGCTTCCATGAAGCCGGAATCGTTTCTGAGATGCCTCATGCCTTCGGTAGGAACCAACCCAGGCATTCTCAAAGGCCGCCCCCTCGTGCCACCCACTTCTGCGCGCCGCCAAAGGGGAGCACGTCATGGAGTGGAAGGCGGCGGGGGGCTGTGGGGGAGAGGGGAAATGAGGGGAGGGATCAGGAAACAGGGAGATTGGGGAGGATAGGTGCGGTAGGCGCGGGGGTGGGGAGGGGACAGGGACAACGGGGGTTGGGAGGACCGGAGAGTGGCGCGAACGGGGGATCGTTAGGGACGAGGAATGGGGTGAGGGGTGCGCAGGAGAAGGCGCAGGACATCGCCGATACGCTCGGGAAGTTCTTGAGCGAGAAGTTCTACGGGTGGGCGCGGGGCGGTCACTGCTTTGGAACCTCACGCGAGATGGATGAAAGGGGGATGTGCAGGGAAAACAAGCAGGTACGAACAATGCTGCATGCAGTTGGTTTCGGCCCCGCCGCCGAATTTTACCCTCGATGCACGCGTCTGTATAGCGCCGGAAGGCGCCCGGGAAAGCCAGCTACATGAGTTCATTTGCTAGTTCCGCTTTGTTATCCTCCTTTTTCGTCAGCCCCGGCTCAAGCGCCCACGGCATGATTCGGAAATGCGTGCCGAAATCCTATCGCACCGCGACGGATGTTCTGAATTTGGTTATCGCAGCATGCCTGTGTCCAGCCGAACGTAGCTACTTGCTGAGTTGCACGTCTTCCTCATTTGCATGGCTTGTGGCAGTGGAGGAAGCGCAACGACCACGTGGCGCTCTTGTCAGCGTGGAATGCGAAGCCGATCGGGGATGCCTCGGACTCAGTTTCGCTCGTCGGCTTGCATGCATGTTATATACGAGGATTTGCAAATACGGATGCAAGTGCTCACGTGCGCGCTAACGTGTATACATGCGTGCTCAGTTGAATGGTTTTGTGCCTGCGTAAACAGGTGTCAAGCTTTACATGCCAAACAGACGATAAGCTTGCAGTGCTGCGTCATTGCACTTATCACCTAGTGGCCGTCGACCCATCCCGCCACCGTGCCTTGATCGTGGACCGGCAGCCTCTTGCAGGCCTTCTGGGTTCTCTGTGGAGGCACCTCTGCGGGCTTCGTGGAGGCAGAATTGGATGCCTCTCGGGGGAGTCTTTGGGGACAATCGATCTCTTGGGAGACTCTTGGGAGGCTCTTGGCGGGCTCGGGGGGCCATTCTGGGAGCAAAACTCAACATGGCCCTCTTGGGGCTCGTGACTGCGGGAGGATAAAACCCGTTTTCCCAAGTGTCATTGCTGACATGCTTGCCGACGGCGCCGGTGTTTGGGCGAGGGGAAGCGATTCCAGATCATCGGTCGTTTCGATCGAGTCCTCCGAGGAGCCCCCACCTTGAGAACGAGGTTGGTAGCGGAGCTCCGTGGTTGGCCCCACGGACTCCAGGAGAGTAGTTGAGGGATTAGCCATCCCATCGGTGCCATGGCGAGCGGGGACACCTACAAGAGTGCGGTGGACCCCAGGATCCCGGTGCTGACAGGCGAGATCCTGAAGGATTTCACGAGGTACAAGAGGGTGGCGCAGGCAGCTGGACTCGGATGCGAGTCTAAGGAGCAGTGCGCCTCCCTCGGGCCGAAGCTGTATCGCAATCTCTTCGGCGCTGACAACTCGATCCGCGTGCTCATAGAGCAATGGGTTCCGAAGGACTACGCGGTCGAGACCGGCAGGGAGGTGCTGCTCAAGTTCCTACAGACCGAACGCTTCGCGAAGAGCAGTTTCCGCGAGTTTCCGAAAGCTTGCGATACCTTCTTCGACCTGACGCACTGCGAGTGGAAACGGCGAGGAGCCGATGGCAACGCTTTGTACTGCCAGTGAGGTGGCGAGACGGAACCGACAGGAGGTGGACCCGGACACCAAGATCAGGTCGATTGAGCTAGGGTAGCCGCACTCTGAAGCGCAGTGGCCTGAACAAGGACGAGCGCAACATGGTGATCGCTGGGGCGGGCGAGACGTTCAATTTCAGAAAGATCTCGACGATTCTGAAACACCTCCTCCCTCGCGGCGGTGGCAAACACCGAGGACACGGTACAAGGACGGCCCGGTGATGAACGATGCACTCGCGCGACGTCGAGCCTGGACAAGCAGACGACGAAGACGCACACCATGGTGAGTTTTGGGTCCAGGACGACGACGGGTACTGGTACGAATGGGACGACGAGCGCGGCGACCACGCGTGCACGGACCAAGACGAGGAGGGAGGCTGGGACAGCAGTCGCTTGAATTACCTCGAGGACGACGCCGACGCATTCCTGGCCGGGGAAGACGATGAATACCACCAGACCGTGGTCACGATGCGAGAGGGCCGCCTAAAGATGAACACGCTACGGGCGGCGAGAAGATTCTTCAAGGGAAAGATCGATGGTGGCGTGGACGAGAGCGCGGCAGCCGGCGGCCATGCGGCTGGCAAGAGCTTCGGGAAAGGCAAAGGGAAGGGCAAAGACGGCGGCAAGTCGAAGGACAAGTGGCGTGGCAAGTGCGGTCGGATGGATCACCACACCTCGGAGTGCCCGACCGGCGGTTCTTCTGGGAAGCCAGCCACAGGCAAGGGCCGCGGCAAGGGGGCGAAGTCAGTTCTTCGTCCACGACGGCTTGGTTTCTGGGCGATGAGCCCTCTAGTGGTTGCGGTGCCTTCCTGTCTGGACGTCCGACACCAGATGCGGGGCCATGGCTTTGCCTGCGCCAACGCGCAGCCCGAGGAGGTTTACGGCATCATGATGGTGAACATGGACAGCGATCCGGTTGTGCTGGAGATGCCAAGGTACGAGGTGATGATATCGAACGACGTCGCGCTGGCGCCCCCGGTGGACATCGGTGCCTCGATCGCGGCGGCCGGGCGCGGATGGCTCGACCGCGTCGAGACGGAGCTGGCGAAGTACGGCTTCAAGCCCATCAAGACGCAGGCCTGTCAGAATTTCAAGGGGCTCGGCGGAGCACGGCGCGAGTCTAAGCAGAAGTGGACCATCCCAGTTGGCATTGGGAGGAAGCACGTGCTGCAGGAGTGCTTCGAGACCCCCAGAGACATGATCGGCCTGGCGAGCAGGAAGGACCTGGCCGAGTGGAAGACGAACCTCTTACGTGCGCGAGGACGGCCATTGCGATCCCGCGTCGCGCGAGTCGGGGCCCTCTTCGAGCAGTTCCGTGTCGACGGTATGGCGCCCGAGCCTGAGGCGATCTTGGTCGCGGGGGCACTGCAGGAGCTCGAGCCCGGCGCCCAGGTGAAGGATCGCGCCGACTTCGCGGGTTGCAGAGGCTCTGAAGAACGGCAGCAACGGCATCTTCAAGAAGAGCACGCTCGAACGGATCGACAAGCTGATGAAGAAGCACTCGGCCATTTCCGACGCGCTGCGCGACAGCCAGAAGGCCTTCCAGCGGGGGGGCGTTCGCGAGGGAGGCGCGCTTTTTGCGCGTCGCCTCGAAGACTGGTCATGCGAACGCTACCCCCCCCCCCCCCCCCCATCTTTATCGGTCGGGATTAACGTTAACGACCCCCAGACGCAGTCGGATGTCCTGCTTCTGATAATGACCTTCGAGCCCTGGCTGTTTTCTGTCGCGTTCCCATGCGTACCTTTTTCGAACGTGCAAGAGTTCCAGTGCGCGCGGGGCACGGGCGGCCGTGTGGTGGGCGACCATGTCGAGGCGTTCAGGCCGTCGGTCGACTGCTCTGTCGAGGCGCTTCGGGCCCAGGCGGGAGGCAGGCGCGTCGGCATCGACGAGAATCGTCGGACGAGCCGCGCGTGGGCTGAGGGGCCGATTATGGATCTACTAGTCACGCTGCGCCAGTGCATGTTCGGGCTCGCGGGCGACTACGGGGCCCCGATCAAGAAGGCCACGCGCGTGCTGGTGCCCAACGGCCCGTGCTTCTCTCGGTGGCTCGACCGCGCGCGCGACAGGAGCCGCGAGTACGCAGTCACGGCAGGGCGAGGCACTCTGCCGTCGCCGGCCAGCGCTTGGCCGGACGACCTGGGCAAGACCTTGGCGAGCGCAGGCGCGCGCGAGCTGGCGCGGCGCACTGACATGAGGAAGCTGGGCATCTGGGGCAGCGCGACGAAGGCGCCGAGCATGTAGACCGCGCGCGCAGTGACCGAGGAGTTCAAGTTGAGGAAGGACCTGGTCGACGTGCGCGTGCTGAGGCGGAGCGAGGCTATCTCGCTGCCTCGCGGGGCTGCACGGCGCATCTACGCGACGCACGCCGACAAGGGGGTGCTGGCCGACTTCTCCGACGCCCGCGCGGGCGACCCAGGCTGCGTGACGATCGAGCTGGCCGCGAGGCGCCCTGCCGACGCAGTAGTCCCGATCTATGTGGGCGGGGCCGAAGGCGCAGACGTCCTTCCCCGCGACGGCGCTTATATTCGGCGGCCGGCCGGAGGCGTTCAAGCCGGGCGATCTCGAAGCAGATGCAGCACGTCGAGGCCTGCATTGTGGGGGCGAGGGCTTCGGATGCATGCTTTCGGACATCGCCGCGGCCCAGCGTGGGGCTCGCTCAGGAAGCCCCACCTGAACTTGAGTCGCCCGTCGGCCCGCGCGCTGAAGCGATGCGTGAAATCCCGCGGGGTTTCGCGGGAGGTGCTCGACGCGGTGGACAAGCTGGGCTGCGTTGTGCGCAAGGGGCTCGGCGGGCCCAACGCCGCGAGGACGGCCGACCTGAAGCTCTCGGCGGAGTTCAACGAGAATGTCATGCTCGACGAAGCCGAGCTGTTTCTCTCAGACAAAACACGGCGAGTGGTCATGGTGATCCGAGACGCGTGGAGCTTCAGGGTCATCATTCCCTTTGCGGCAGTGCCGTCCATCACGGGGGTCCTTCGCTGTCTCTCGCAAGGATGGCTCTCGTGGGTTGGTCCTCCGAAGGTGCTCTTCTGCGATGCCGCGAAGGGCCGCGTCGCGCAGCGGTTTGTGGAGATCGGCGAGAAGTGCAACATCCTGCCATCGATTTCTTCAAGGGCCGCTCCCAGCATTTGAAACGCGACGCGCAGCTTACCGAGAGCGACGACCCGTTTGTGAGGTTTTCGGTGATTGCGAGTACGTGCAACCACCGCATCCGGCGGAACGGCTTCCCAGAGGAGCTTTTTCTGGTTTTTGTTTTTCGGAAACAAGAAATTATTATGTTTTGTGTTGAAAACAAGAAAACAAGAAATTTCGGATTTTCTTGTTTTGGGTGTTGAACACAAAAAATACATGACGTTCCCGATGTCAGGTGTTCCTCGTTAGGGTTGTGCCCGTTGAGCGTTTGGATTCACTCTGATGCTGTTGGATTGACGCTTTGCCCTTGTCGGGCGCGGTTGTGCGACTTGTTCGAGCCTTTGCCGAGGTACAACGGAGCACGTTCCTTTCGCGCTCTCATGAAAAATCAAAATAAGGCGAGGAGGAGGAAAGGAGGAGGAAGAATAACGTTGGGAGGAGGAGGGGAGGAGGAAGTGAAGGAGTAGGTGAAAAAGATAGGAACATGATGCAGGAGAGGGGAGAGTGGAGGGGGGACGAAACAGCATTGAGCAAGAGCAGTCTTGTCAGGCACTGCAAACATTCTCGCTTACATCCAGAAGCGCCCCCTCGAAGGACGAACGCCCCGTGGGCCTGGCATTGTTGAGGAATCACAGCCTTGCACAAGATCAGCCCTCCATCTGTGTAGCTGTTGCGCAATTGAACCCTGTCGAAATATATACACACTGGGGGGCGTCCCAATCGAGAGAACATTTTGAAAATGGATCGCCGTCCATCCGTATACTTAGTTTTAGGCGTCCGTCCCCTTCCCGTATTCCCGCCGCGTGCTGCTTTAATCCCCGCGTTCATGTTTACAGTGACCCTCGTGCTCGATTATTACGGCCCCGCTTCCCGTTGAGTGTAATAATCTCGGACGCTCCGCTGCTGAACGCATCCACAGGAGGAGGGGGCGAGAAGATCATGAGGGCATGTTCGACACGGCAGTTCGCTAAAGCGTGACACTTAGCGCACACCGCCAGCATCCAAACAAACATCAGATGCGGCTCAAAGCGGTGCCACGTGACGGGCTGGCAAGGATTGGGGCAGTTTGCGGCTGGCAATCCGAAACATTGTTTGCCAGGGAAGTTATAATTACATGGGGAGAACGGGGGAGGTAGACAGAGGGAGAGAGAAGGAGAGACAGAGGAAGAGAGAGAGAGAGAGAGAGAGAGAGAGACGAGAGAGATAGAGGGGGAGAGAGGGAAAAGGAGAGAGAGAGAGAGAGAGGGTGAGAGGGAGGGAAGGAGGGAAGGAGGGCGGGAAGGGTGTTAAGTAAAAGGACCGTGGGAGACGGTGACGCCTGGGAGCGAAAACGTTCCTGATGCATGTCCCCCTCCCCAACAGTTTTAGATCGCCCTCTGAAGACAATCTCGCGGCCTAGCCAATCATGGCCTCAAGCTCCTCGTCCGTGAGCGGGGCTACAGGCGTGGGCTGGGGTGCGGGGTCCCACGGACAATCCGAAATACGTTGTGGCTCTTGCACACCTTGGTGCTGCGCTAGCTCCACGCGTGGGCCATGCGGCCTCTGCATCTTAAGAGGGTGAAACGTGGGGAACAGCGAAGACGTTGTGAATCGCAATGAAGCCCATTGCTCCCCCCATCCACTAACTTGGTGAAGGATTAGGAGTGTTGGAGGGCGAGGAGCACGGGGGAGGCTGAGAGCGAATGAAGCGAGGACGAGGGAGGACGAATGGGAATGATAGGGGAGAGGTGGGAAAGCGGGATGGGATTGGTTGGCAGATACGGAGCGTAGTCGACCTTCATTGCGATTCACGCTGTGCCTGGTGCGCGCCACTGGGGACGCACGGAGCGAGATGCAATGGATGCGCGCTCAATCGGCCCTGCTTCACCGGGCTTGGGCTCGAAATACTCGGGATCCTCGGGGTCGACCTCCTCGTCCGAAGTGCTCTCGAGATCGAAATCTAACTCTGGCGGAGGTTCGGGCCCGCGCTCATCCGTGTCAGTCTTGACTGTATCGGGCTGCCTTGCGAGGAGGGGGCGTGTGACTTAGATTCCCATATAAAGCACATGGGTTTCTCCTCCTCCCCTCGATCGCGCATTCATTGAATGCTCGATCGAGGGGAGGACGAGGAACCCATTTGCTTACAATGGGAACCCGAATCCACATGCCTGTTCGGGGTCGGCTCTGACTGCAGCTCGGGGCGAGTGGTCGGCTCTTGCTGTGGGCGAGGTTCGGGGCCCTCGCTGCTGCCAGGGCTGCTCTGCATGGCGCAATGCACGCGATCCGAGTGCTTATCGATGTTCTACCGTTCTCTCTGGACCGAGATGCTGGCAGAACTGACCCTGCATACCAGAGAGTCCCTCCTCCGCCCTTCCTTGTCCTCTCCCCTTCTGGGTCCTCATCCCACTTCCCTCTAGCGTTCCACCCCGCCCCTGATCCTTACTTGTTTCGTATGCCCCCCCCCCACTCCTCCATGCTCGAACTGTGTGTATATATTTATGTGTTGTTATTGCCAGCTATCGAAACCTAGCAGAAAACAACGATAGTCCCATAGAGCTTGTCCAAGTTCAAGCATCCCCGAGTTTACCATAATGTTGGTTTCCAAACATGTCTAAACAGCCGAAGCAATCGGCCCCAAAAACTTGCGTTGACCAAGTTAGCATTCTACGTGGGTAATACACCTAGCCCCATGAACCAGAAGCGTGCATGTGACTTGGCAACGCGAGCAGCGATCAAAGCAGATCTGCCAAACCATCGAACAATTCAATCGGCTAAGGCTCGCAATTGCTCGATATGCGATCTCGAGCATGACGCACTTCCACCGCAACAGCCCTACAGCACTGCAAATGCCGAGTTCTGCTGAACGATCGGGAGCAACCTGATGCGTTGGAAAATTGTCCTCTCCCATGTGCTGCGGTGAGAGGATGACGCAATGCCTGCCAATATCAAATTAAGAGACTCGTCGTGGAATGTAGAGTAGAATCTCGGGTTCCCTTTAGGCCCAACCAAAAGGGTCATATGCACGAACTGGTGCGATTTAGGCTGCTTACCCAGCCCAATCTCCCCCATGAGAGTCAGATGTCGCAGACACAGGTCTAACAGCTCGTGCCTAGTGTCAAACGGGACTGCCCTCGGTGAAACTCGAAGCAGGAGCATATACCGCACAAGGGATTCCCCTGCGGCATGCAGCACATCTGCCTCTGGAAACTTATTTGCGAACGATCTGCAAAAGTCAACAGCCCACCTTACTAACACTCCTGTTTCCGCCCCCTTTGTCTTCAGGGTTGGTTTGTCTGCAGTAGAAATCATACCTGGCGTGAGGTCTCTCAATTGGTACGACAAGTCTATTGAGCTATCGGAACACCAGACCTTATAGTCGTTGAACAATCGCTTGCATGTAACTGCGATTATCACTTCACCTGGGCCATCTATGCCGAACGCATTACCTCGAATTGCTGACCAAATAACAGCGTGGACATATGACTGGCAAACCCCGAGATACAGGCAATGAAGGGTGTCCACGTGCATCATGTTTTCATCCGCACCCACAGATGGTGAAAACAAAGGGTTCCGATGGTGCACCCTGTCCGTTATTCTTCTCTTGGCGTCGAAGTTTTTCCCCCAGAAAACACACCAAAAAGGCAGCAGCTGCCTTGTGAACGCCCCCACGTCTTGCAGGCCCATGGACGGTTCTAGTCGGTCAAACCTTTTGAGGCCGAGTTCTGGGACGTCGCTGTCCAAGATGTACCCCCTGGGATTTTTTTTCCTATCGAAGTGAAGCTTCCCTTTCGTAAGGATGAGGTCTCGGGTGGTCTCGTCTATGACGTGGACATCCTTCTCGCACTGCAAGCACGCTTGGTTGTAGGAGACGGCGTGGTCACCCCAAGAGTGGCCCGCCAACGAGATGCCCGTGAACCTGGGTCAGGCAACAACACATTGTCACATACATCACTTGGCACATACTATAACGCTGGGCCTACCTACCTCGAGCTACCCGCACCCTACCCGTACCCTACCCGTGGCCTATCTTGCCCGTGGCCTACGATCTAGGGTGCGAGGATAAGAAAGATACACGTAGATACGAATGCTTGCGCAAATCGATGTGAACCGACTCCTCGTCATCCTCCCTCCTCGCTGTCCTCATACTCCTAAGTGCCCTCGTCACGTGCCCTGCTGTGTCCCATGTGTATGGTAAGCGTGGCGTCTTCGTTTTGTTTGGAGTGCGTGCGCGTGCGTGTCGTGGAGGTGTGCTGTTCGGGGCTGGAGAACCGCGCAAGCAAAAAACATATGTTCTGTTTGCCGCACCATTCCCCAAACAGCCCAAATCGCTATATTTAAGGCTTCCCGTCTCCAGCCATCGAGAGGTGTCTGGTAGGTTGTCTTTTCGAATTCCCGCAAGAACTGGTAGAGCGTGGACCTCGATGCTCGGCACCACAGGCAAGGAACATGATGTGCAGACCACGTAGGGAAACCAAGTAAATTACAATACGCCTCCCAGTCCCCCTTAATTTGGCACAGCACGAATCTAGCAGCCATCTGCGGCTCCCTGTTCACCAAATCCAACGACGCAGATCCATCAGGCCAGCGTGTCCCGTCCCATCGGACGCGAGGCCGCGAGCCAACGGTAGCTGCTGAAATCGACCATGCTATATAGTTATACACTGCCCATAGAGTACACCATCCATGGCATCCACAATGACAGAGATCCCGCTTAAGAACGATTGCGACAAGATGACGTTTCATAGTCTGGGCGTTATACACTGTGATGGCAACGAGCGTGTCTGCTCTAGGCCCGAGCGCACGGTTGAACTTTATGCCGTCCAAGTAAAGTGAGATCGGGAACACGTCCCGATTGTCCCCAGGTCGAACACGATGTGGATGTCGGGCCCAATCTTCTGTCCACTCAGGATCAGGCGGCTTAACCTCGATGCCACTACTTTCTTTCACCGCCTCGAGCTCCGCATTCAGCAGCTCGTGTGGTGGCGCAACCAGGATTGCCTTACTCGACCTCTGGTTCTTCC